AATAATCGCTCGTGGGCGAATTTCTGCTGGCGCTTGCTCTGGCAGAGCAGTCATGCTGGATAGGTGTACAAAGAGCTGGAACCTGGGAAGAACAACCATTAGAAACCACACTACACACCAGGCACACACTAGGGGACCTGTTCCAGGACGATTTTCTCTGACAGGAACTATCCTGATCAATTACATCCTGTAGGTAATATGTTACCCTGAGCCAGTGTAGGGGTCTGACCCTTGACTGGACTTCAGGTACTCACTACAACAGCTCTCTCATTCCCCTCTGCAACCAGACAGAGGAGAGAAAAAAAAAAAAAAACCAGCAAAGGATTCATCAATTAAGAGCTGGGAGAGGTCACTTACTGATCACCATCACAGGCAAAACAGACTCAAAGTGGGGATATTATTTGAATTTATTACTAACAGAGTCAGAGCAAAAGAGGGAGAAGTAAAAATAATCTTAAAAACACCTTCCCCCCACCCCTCCTTCCTTCCATGTTCTCTGTCCTCCCTCACAGTGGTGTAGCAGGACAGGGAGTGGGGGTTCCCATTAGTTGATGTTTCTGCCCTACTCACGGAGAGCAGTCCTTCCCCTACCCCCATGAGGTCCCTCTCACGGGAGATAGTCCTTCATGGACCTCTCTGGCATGAATCCATCCCACAGACAGAGGTTCTTCACGAAACTGATGTCCCGTGGGTCACTTCTCCATAGGGTGCAGTCCTTCACGGATGAGCTGTACCGATGTGGGTCCCCCACAGGAGGCACAAGTCCTACCTGAAAAAAGCCTGCTCCAGCGTGGGCTCCTTTCTCCAGAGGCTGCATGCCCCCAGCAGGACCCTGCTCCACTGTGGGCCTCGCATTGGGTCACAGCCTCCACCTGCTGAAGCATGGGCTCCTCCATGGGCTGCAGGGGGGTGTCTGCACCCCGATGGTCCCCCATGGGCTGCAGGGGCACAGCTGCCCCACCATGGTCTGCACCACGGGCTGCAGGGCCTCAGCTCCAGTACCAGAAGCTCCTCCTGCCCCTCCTTCTGCACTGACCTTGGTGTCTACACTGTTGTTCTCATGTTCTCACTCCACTCTTCCCTGACTGGAATTCTTCCTGTGCCACAATCTTCTATTTTTAAATATGTCATCACAGAGGTGTTACTGTTGCTCCTGATTGGCTCGGCCTTGGCCAGCGGCAGGAAGTCCATCCTGGAGCTGGCTGGCATTGGATCCACCGGACAGGGGAAGCTTCTAGCAGCTTCTGACAGGAGCCACCCCTGTAGCCTGCCCCCACCCCCCCAAAAAAAGTCTAGCCACAGAAATCCACTCTGGCCAGTAAAGGGAAAATAAACCACATAATTTATCACACATGACATTTCCCACTGAGTTACTTAAATGCTGGTAATACCATACTATTAATGATATGTGAAGATGTAGAGTGAATCAGCCAGACATCTCTTATTGTTCCTTAAACTGAAAAAATAAAATAGGTTTATCAAGAAGATGAGAGGTAAGAAATAATTCATATCCAAGAGTTTCTTTAAAAACCTACACAGATTCTATGGGAACACAGACAAATTTCACTTCAGAGCCTTCCACAGGACAGAACTGAAAGATGCAGCCATTGCAAGTAAGATCGTAAGTATGTAAAGCATACAAGTTTTCAGAAGTTTACCACTAGTTAGTCTGTGACGCATTGTTACATTTCTAAAACTCTTCATTAAAGTAAGCGGCTGGGAGCTCTGAGCCACCTGATCTAGTTGAAGGTGTCCCTGCTCATGGCAGGGGGGTTGGACTAGGTGGTCTTCAAAGGTCCCTTCAAACCAAACTATTCTATGATCTTGCAATGCATTAGGGAATAAGTTCTTGAGTTTCTAACACGGATTTATAACTTTATAATATTTTTTCTATAAGCCAGACTTATTTTATATCACACAAGGGGCAAAGGTTCAAACAAGTCAAGTCACTTGTGCAAATTTCAACTGAGATTATGAGGTCTGTTGTACCTAAAAGTTCTCTGTACCAAACTGTTATCTAGGTTAGCCAGCCTCTTGTCTCTTTTCTACAGAGTCCTGTGTGTTTGTCACCAGTATCTTCCCTCAGACCTTGCAGAAGTCAAGCAGGTACAAGATACTCTCTAGTTCCTTGAAGACCAACCCACTCTTATCCCTGCTGGAAAAAACTACTTATGTTTCTGCAGCTATACTGGTTTACATACTTAGATAAGACCTGTAGGGACAAGTGACTTGTATCAGACAACAAAATATGTTAGTAAAGCAAATGATTGATTTTTCATACCTTGGTAGGGAGAGGGAAAGCAGCTGGAAGAATGGAGGAATCTTTTATGTAGCATTTACTCTATTTAAAGATGGTGCTTATTTACATACCTTGCCATTCCTATATAAAGAGTCTCAGGCATTTTTTAATATTATCCAAGTAGTTCCATGTTGATTTTTCTCTAGTCATCCAAGGTCATACACAACTCTCAATAGGAAATGTTTATCTTCTTTTTCTAAGTTAATGAGAAATCAATGAATTAGTGAGGATTAAATATTTTCTCTGGTATTAGCAGTTTCACTTCCCAAATATTTTAAAAAGTTAACAACTATTCAAATGTAAAGTTCAAGTTAATGAACTTCACAGGATACTACTACCAAGCAAGCATCAGTCACAAAACTTCACAAGGGATCAAGTTAGGGATTAGTAATTTTAACAATGATTTCTTAGTGTTTTTCATCTTGATCCCTGTCCCCTGGGCTAATGTTTTTCATACCACAGTATTGGTATCAATATCTTCTTAGGCTGCTGTAAAATACCTGTGAAGTAGTTCCACATACAAAAGTGCTGTGGGGTCAGGTCCTACGCATTCAGTCTGGGAAGAGCTCATATTGTCCGTATTTCAAGTAAACGCATGCACCACTGGAAATGGGTCAAAAAATGGCTTCTATGAAGAACAGGTAGAGTTCTGATTACTCTTTTGTCACTGTCTAGTTGGGGAAAATACCATTGAGTTATATGAAATTAAATTGCCTGAAGTATAAGCAGAGTCAACAAGATAGTTTTTTTTGGGGGATAGTTTTTTTTTCCAAACCACTGAATTATAGTACAAGGACATGAAGTTGGTTTTGGGTTTTGTTTGTTTGTTTGTTTTGCATGGTTGGCTGGTTTGTTTGTTTGGTTTGGTTTGTTTTTAACTGAAGACAACTATTATATGCTACCACCAAAGAAAAACTTGACCTCTCAATGCCATATGATTAAGTCACAGGGGCAGATACTCAAATTTGGAATTATTCCCTACCTTTCTTTAAGCAGGCATCAACCTGTGGTTTTTCATTCTGGGCAGCTTGCAGGGCTAGAGATCTGCCCACAGATCGCCCATGTCTGTGACCTAATTCTTCTTTGCTGCCTGTGGTGAATTCCATCTGTTTAGACCTGGAGAAATAGACCAATATATTACTTTAATACCCCAGGGAGTTGATTATGCCTTTTGTATATATTTTATTTTTATTTGACATGTCCTGCTTCATCAGCTTTATAGTTATGTTTCAAAGTCTTTTTCATCAAGTGCTACCAATGCAAAACACCAGTGCAAGATGAAGAGAACCAACATACTTAAACATGAAACTTGTGCATCCCTACAAGATCCTGTGCCCTTTGATGTTTGAAACTTTGTATCATTTCATGTGCTAGAGAAAGAACTGGATTCTAAATTGTTGATCATTAACTTTGCTTAACATTGCTTAGCTGTAATCTCTATTCCTTCTCAGTGAAACTGTGTAGTCACACACACACACAAGAGTTTTAAGTGCACTTGCTTTGGAGAGGGTTTTACGAGTAGGCTCCATAGTCTATACAGTATTATACAGTATTTCCTTTTTCAAGTGTTAAATGACTGTCTTAATTTATAAATTACGTGTTAAAGGGACTGTACACAAAGGATGTCTCAGTCTCTCAGTCATTATATAGCCTTCTGGTTTTGGACAGGATTGTTGCAGTTGTGTGTCCTATGATGTCTTCCTAAGGACAAAGGATTCAGACACTAAAGTCTGCTAGTAATTGGGGAAAAAGTGACATGTGTGTTCTTTATGAAGGTTAATCTGATTCTTAAACTAATAAATTTAATGTTTTTCCCAAAATAGGACTAATCACAAGTATCTGCTTTGCACAGAGACACATTCTTAATATCCTGTACACTGTGCATGAAGGAGCAGACACAGATGTACAAAATGTTTTTGCTCACAGGGCATGCAGATTAGTCTTGCATTTTGCAGAGGAATGCTGCAGAAAAATTATCTTGTTGACATTGAGCAGTATAATTTTTAAGTCTGGAAAAGTGGTAACCATGAGGCAGAGGCTCTAAGTTAAGCCATAGACTGCACACTTAGAAAGAAAAAAACCAACCTTTTGATTTCTCTATTCTATGTGTAGTGGAATAATACATTCTTATTTGTCAGGATTTTAGGATTACATCAAAGTGAAACAAACTGAAACGACCCTCCCCAAAACCAAAACAAAACTCCTCACTACATCAAATATTTAAATGAAAAATTCTTCAGAGGTACACAGCATAGTTCTATGACTTAAAGATGCCAAATTCTGAGTTTTCAACAGGTTTGCTACGCTTACTCCTAGAAGAAATGTTATTACCATTAACTTTGGTAAGCTTTCCACATGACACCTGTGTAAATTTTAAATGCATCACTGCATCCAAGCATGAAATCTGGTGTTAGTCACTGCTGTTTGGGATTGTCTCTGCTGCTTAGGAAATTAAAGAACTGAAACGGTTTCTATAGTTATCTGAAAAACCCAAAATGCTTTTATAAAGCAATGCCTCTTGAGTACGTTCCTTTGCCTTTTCTGCTCTAATTTCAAGATTCCCCTTTTCATTATAGAACTGGTAATAGATAAAAACAGATGCCCTGTTAGTCATAGCTCAAGATGCCTCTCAAAACCATCTCACAGAGAAATGCCAGAACAATAAGTCCAGTATAGATCAAGAGCAGGTTGACAGCTGTGATAGTCTTTAGAACAAAATATTTTATTCATCAATAAAACTATAGTTTACAGTAGTATTTACTAAATAAATTATAGAATTTCTCTTTTACAAGAAATAAACCAAAATCAAAAATATTTCAAAGGCAACATATTTACACAACATAAGGCCTTGTTATAAATAACAATTTTTTCTCTTTTTTATGAACAGCGAAAGTATATTTAGAGGCTCATTTTCATATAGTATGTTCAGAGGTTTACTTTAACTCTTGTGATGTCAGTTCCAGTTTCCACTGATGTGGACTTAAGAGATTAGAACTGAGGGCTCAAAACAAATGAAATTAATTTTATTCATAATTGTGCTTATTTTTAAATAGGTAAAGCAGAGAATAGATTTTGCTTGTGCATAGTTACAGAATGCATGCAAATGAAACCACTAGAGACCTGATAAGAAAATATTACTTCCAAGTCCAAAAAAGGTGATTGGCAATATAGTAGAAAGCAGCCTGAATACACAGTTCTTCACAGTTCAGCAAGCAACAGCAGATGACAGCAGAGTGTGGAATGTATCATGTCATTTTTGCCAAGTCCATCAATTCTTTCTGTGGTTCAAAGATCCTGACGCTTCTTACGATAAATTCAGTCGATTATTACTCTTTGTCTATTAGGCTTAGCAAGTTTCTCCTTCTTAAATGAGGAGTGCAGAAAGTGCTCTTCATTAACCATGATCACTTCTTTTACTTTTACTCTTCACATATTCTTTGTTACTGGAAATACAAAAATGACAAATAAAGTCAAGAGTTGTGTTTATTTGTTTTCTTACAGAATTATAAACAGGTAACATCTTTCTTCCCCTAAATAGGCTGCAGCACAATTTGGAAGTGATTCTTTTCTTACCTTGACCCCTAATCAGAAGCACTGGAGCCTCTTTTCAGGCACAACAGATAACCCCTATGGGCTTGTAGACATTGCAGTACACTTATATTACCTGAACTAGAACTACTTGCTGCTGCAAAATGCTGAACACTATGGACATCAGAGAAGACAGTATAAATAGAGCACTCAGCAACTCACAGCAGCTTTTTTTTTAATGTTGAATTGACTGTGACCTTTATTACTTAAAACTGTTAGTGCAAAAGTGTCAGTCTTCATGGTCATGAATAAAAGTCCTGTTAGCTTCTGCATGATACCCTTCACCAGCTGAAAAGTTATACCTGCCCAAAAACTTTCAGGCACAGCTAATGTTCTAGTCAATGTTTTAGCAATCCATTTCACAAAAAAAAATTACTTAATAATGTTAATGGATTAGAGTTTTCTACAGTACCTTTTACAGAACCAACAGTTATGTAATACAAATTGTTAATAACTTCTTAGCATCTCTTTAGAGTCAGAAATGTGTTGAAGAGAAACTGACAGCTGAACAAAACATTTCAGTACATTGAAAGCATCTCAGCTAATATATCCAATATGGAGCAAGAAACAAAATCAAAACAAAGAAGTGTAGTAGTGACCTTACTCTAAAACCTTAAAAAACACAACAAAGATGTAAATTCCATTTATTCAATAGATTTTGAAGGTCACCTTTATATTGTACTTGTCAATACAAGCATTTAACTATCCTTTAAATAGTTGGACAACAGTCTAGTGTTAATTATGAGCTAAAAATATCTAAAGTCATTTATAAAGCTTCTCTTAGAGAAAGATAACTAACTACTAGATTTAAATCAATATTTTAGTTGTGACTTCTGGCACTAGCCCTTGAACTTTAGGAAATTATATTTCAATATTGTTCTATGGCAACATTTAAACTTCCTATTGTATTATGCACCAGTGTTAGTGTGTTCATAATCATTGATACTAGTGAGCACAGTGCTTATTTCTCAGGGGCTGTTCGCTCTCTCTATGTAACTGTGGTTTTGCAATTAAAGTCTATCCACTGCTGTATTAGCACCTGAATGTGCTAAGGGAGTAAAGTACTTACAGGATGCAAACAATTTAATCTGCAAATAGAAACTGTTGGACAAGTGAGTAAAATTTAAAAAAAAAAAAATTATCTTCTAAAATCAATATGATGTAAGGTTAACACAGAATTTTTTTGAGTTTTTTTTTTTTTTCCCCAAGAATCAGTTTGGCAAAAAAGTTGAAAAATGCTAGTACTGATAAACAAAATAATGTTGTATGAAGCCAAGACAAATTAATCAAAATTTTCACTAGCACTATCTAGCTTCTGTCTGAAAGCTCAGATCTGAATGACTGCAGGTCTGTTTCTGACACATGGTCACTCAGCACAGCTTCTGACCCTCTGGACTTATTACTACTTTTCACTAAGGAGACTAGCAGTGTTTCTGATGTTAGCTTTATGCTATTACACTAATTATTGAACGGAATTATGCACAGCTTATGCTTGTCCTTGCTCTCTTTCCTCTGATCCTTCCAAAGCATTTCAGAGTGACCAATGATGGAAAAAATTCCAATAAAATTTGCATAATAGAGCTGGAGAAAAGAGACCTAACAGCAGCTTGTAGAACTGCTAACCGTGAATCAGTCACAGGAATACTGATGCCATTTTAGTGAGATGGGATTTTCAGATGTTCATATTTCTGAACAGGCACAGTCCAGTACCATACGTATTACTCTGGAAAACACTCCATCTATTACAAGGGGCAAAAATGATCTTCTAAGCAACTTTGTATCCACTGCACATCTTTTGGGGTTATCTTACTTACAGATAAAAGAAACATTTTTAATTTTTTTATTACAACTGAGTTTGGCCATAGCACTTTGGTCTAGAATGATAAATAATGCACAAATGACACTACAGGATACATTTCTATAATCACTGTCTCAGCTGTCTCACACTGGGTATATAATGGATTTACAGTGTTTGAGCCTACTTGAGTCTTTTTGTATTGAAGCATTTTTGTGCTCCAGTTCTTTTTTCATGGATATGTTTTTGAGCTGATTGATTTCCTCATATGATGCTTTAAAAGACTCAGGCATGAGAACATGTAGTTCAGTGACAATACGAGCTGGCATTTTAGCACTTAGCTTACTCAGGAAATGTATTACTTGTAATCTGAATTGGTACATTTTAATCTAACCAAGCACATAATTCCTGTGTCTAATTTTCATGCAAGAGTGACTGAAATGTTCCTTCTTACATAATGTTGCTTCTGCAAAAACACCTCTGCCAAACTATGTTCAAGTGTTCTTTTTTTTTTCCCTTCACACCAGGTTTCAGTTGTATGAGAGACATAGGCCTCTTTTCTTTTTAGGATGATGCATGGATGAATAGATAACAGAGGAAAGGAGCAATTAACCTCACTGCATAAAACAAGTAGGTTTGCCCCCTTCAGCCTTAACAAGATTCTGTTTTGAGGAAAGTGCTTGATCGGTTCCATTATGTGCATGTAACATTCTAAAGATTAGTATGCTCTCAGAGATAAGAATGTCTCTAATCAAGGACGCCTTAATTCCTTTCCCATAGTCCCAGAATTCAGGTTCAGTCCACTGTGTTTTGCCATCAGTATCTTCAGAGGAAATGGTGAGGCAGAGAAATTGAAGACTCCATAAAGAGCAACATACAAAAATTTGAGATATGCTGCACAGTGTGACTGTACAACTTTTAGCTTGTTTTTACATGCATCCTGTCTGGGAACTGCTTTAATTTCAGCTGCACTTATTATTCCACAACAGCACCCTGAAGAAATCTACACCAGGACTAGAATTTAATTGAAACTATGGGAGTGAGTACAGAAGAAAAGGAGTATTGAAGTGTAAGACGAGTCAGACAATTTTTAGTTTCTAAATAGGCATTTTATAGACCAATATTCATAAATCTGATTACCTTGCACCTACAGTGGCTTTAAAGTACAAAATTAATCTCCAGCAATGTTTTAATACTTCCAAATTCTGTAATAAAACTGGCATTTGGACACAAAACACTAGCTAAATAATTTTAAATGTAATAATATGACCTACACAATTCATTGGACACAAATCATAGGTACACTAAACAGACTCTAAATACATTGGGCTTGCTCATCATGAGCTATTCCTTTATTTTATTTTTCTGAAGCCCTTATTGATCCCTATCTTCAGTGGCAGTGACTTCTAAATTATATACAAATTTTGTGAGCCTTTCCTTCAGTAACAGGAGGCAATCTGTATTTCCATGTGAAAATTTCTATACTACCCAAGACCCTTGCATTGTATTTAAATATACAGATATATTCTTTAAATTTAACCATTTAAAAATGGTTCACTAATGAGATCCTATAGGCAGAACATATACTTATTTATTTGAATCCTTTATTTACCACCAGATGATTAAGATGAACAGCATCACAGTTGAACAAACTTTAAAGTTTTTTGCATGCATGTCTTTTTTCTATTGGAAGGGTAAAGGAAATCAAGCATATTTGAAGTAAATCAATTATATTGTACTGATATTATATTATACAATTATATTATACAATTATATTATAAAATTATATTATACTGATATTGTAGTTTGACAAAATAATATGTTCAGCTACCTTTATATATAATTTTGTGGGAAGGCTAAGAAAACACAGTAGGATAGTTTGTAATTGGACATGTTACTTTTTCAGGAACATAAAAGTCAATCAAAGGATTTGAGATATCACTGCAGAACAGAAGGAACAAGGTGATTTTAAGTTATTCCTTGCTTTTTAAGTGAAATTAAGATTTTTAAGGCACTCCACAGTGGACTAAAGTCGTCAGTATTGGTTGCACTTGCTGATCATAGATCACTCTTAAGAACTTTTTGCAGGATTTGACTTATATTTTTTCCTAATCAAGTTCCACAGAACACTGTGACTGTTGTGTTCAATAGCATTTGCTGACATTTAATGCTTTTCTGCTTATATATCATCTGACAGTGCCAGAACTAACACCAATAAATAGGACTTCAGGGGAATTAAATCAAGAGACCAAGTTTATTTCCAGAAGAATAAGGAAACACTACTTTAATCTATTATTTTGTGGATTTCTATATGAAAGTGCTAAATAGAAGAGTTTTACCTTCTCTGCCTCAGGAAACCTGTTTATCTGAGATGACACCTTCTTTTTCAAAGTATCTGATCTATCATTGTATTACATACTCATAAAAGCAAGAAGCCTTTAATGTTTTAATGGTATGCAGAGAAACATTTAAAATTTCCAAGTATCTTATTTATCTGTTTCTATCTTTCTGCACTATTTAATTGATAATTAAAATTATTTGTACTGATTACTCAGTATTTGTTTCCCACTCTTTTGTACTAGAATATTTGGAAATAATTTAGATTGGCTTATACCTGCTGCTAATTGCAGATGACACTTAGTCATATTTTAGTCATAAAAGCAAGATTTATGAAGCCATTATCCGGGTTAAAAAAAATATGAGAAAATAAACCAGTGGTATTTCAAAGTCAAGCCTGGATTTGAGGATGTTCCTAACAGTGCTTCTTAGAGTGGCAGGTGCACGAAATGCTGTTTTGCCTAGCTTGGCCTTTTTTCAGAACTGAAGAATTCTGGGCCCAGACCAGAATTCAGTTGTGTACCCAAGATATCTCTGTACCTGTGTCCTGGACCAAAAAGTCTTGCTGTTACTAGGTAAATTCCCAGTTTTGACATCAGCAGCACAGTGTGAGTCTGCAGTAACACCCCAAACCCATTTCTTTTGCAACCTCAGTTCCACCCTACCTTACTCGACTGTCTGAATTTCCACACAACACTGACCAGAAAATGCCATTTTAAAGCTGCTTTCTATAATAAATTAACACTATGTAACCTTATGACAATTTCTTTTTTTTTTTTTTTTTTTCTTTTTGCAGTCACGGGACCAGAAATTAATTTACTATAGGATGAAAATTTGTCCAGGAAGTTTAGCATTTCAAAGCAGGAGGCAAAGACATCGAAGGATTAGTGGTGACTGAAATTAAGCAAGTTAAGATATTTTTCATTATAATATATAGTGGGTGAGACTACAGCAGTTTGCCTTGTAATAGAAACACAGACAAGGCTTATTAATTACAGGGTTAAAGGAAAATCTGGGAGGGTCATTAAAAACTAAATTTGTCTCCTCATGCTTTTAAAAGGTGTATCTTTTAAAGATGTATCTTGTAACCTTTTCTATTGAGGTTTAGATCAGCTAATGCAGACATCATTGATTTGCTTTATTTTTGAGACATCCATTAGCAACGACTGGCCTAGTGTTCTTGAAAACATGCATCTTTTCCTTCTAGAATGCATTTAATCATCCTCCTACAAAAACAAATCTGCCTTCTGCTCAGCACTATTGAATCAAACTGGTAACACACATCACTTTGTAACTGATGATACTTCATTATCATCAGGTTTCACAAACAGAGGCTGATTGTTATTTCCGGATCCACTGAAGGGTTATTACAGGGCATTTGGAAGTAACATATTAGTAGACAAGACACCATATTATTCCTTTTTTTTTTCCCAAACACCTCAGGATACATATAGGATACATGTGATTAAACTCATGGGTTTGGTTTTTTTCCCCCCTCAAATGGAAAACAAATAACAGGACAGAAACTCCTACCATTAGAGAAAAACTGAAAGGCATTTGGACATACTTCATTATTAACACAATGGTTAATAGGCACATAGATTCTTTAGGGATTTGCTGTGGCAGGGTATTTAAGCATATGTTTCATCTGAAAAATACCTCAATGAATCTCTGGATCTTTAAGTTAAGCAGGTATTTTAGTCACTTTCTGAGCCTGAGTTAAATAAATTACAGGAGAAACTGTTCGACAACTTACTAAGTAGACATCCAAAACTGAAGCATTATCATTTTCCATTTCCAGTGTGCTCTGTTCTGAAGTCAAATAGATGGCACTATCTTCCAAAGTGAATGTTGAACTTGAAGGTAACCCTTTACTGCAAAGAGAAGGGAGACTAAATCAACCAAAAATCAAAGCTACAGAGAGCTCAGTCATAGATGAAAATTTAAAGGTAAGTTTCTCTCTTAAACATAAAAATCTTCAAATACTTGAAAAAAAGGAATGTAAATGAACAAATATAAATGTTTTGGCAATGGCTAGATAACTGGAAGCTCATATTTGACTAATATACACAAACCACAGTTTCTATTTTTGCATTAACTGAAATTTTATCAGAAAGTAATGCTGTTCCTGAACTCCTATATTTATTTAAATAATGAAACTGTCACAGTAAATGTGACTTAATTTCATTAATTCCAAATTATGTTACTTCCACATTACACATGGCATAAATTTTGGCAGCCTTTCTTAATTCAAAATAGGGAAGAAAGATTTGGCAATTAGGCACAGTAACAGTGGACTTTTTTCATGCAGACACAGGACACTCGCAGCCAAAAGCTCAAGAGGAAAAGTGGGAGAAGAACAACAGTGTAATGGTACAGCTTTGCAAAGAAGTGGTGTTTACAGAACAGGTGCACTGTATTACTTCATTCATAGATTGATTCTTTTGTTCTCTGCTATTCAGAAGTAATGGTAAACTGCAAATGCATCTGTATAGAAATCCTGTTTTTTAAACACAGTTGGTCCACAAAGCTGAAACTCTGAAAGGTGTTTAAATTGAGCCAGGTGTCCATTATCTCCTGTCCCCTCCTAGCTGCCAGAAACTAAGCTCCAAGCTTGGAAAACTCAACTGTCAGTTGTGCAGAGACATATTTTAAAAGTTCTTACCTCTTTACAGACAAGGTGAAAAGCAAAAAATTCTGCATTGTAACTGGATGTGAAAACATAGTTACAACCATCAGTCCAGATATGACTAATTTCCCCCCTCTTTATGTTACTTTAAGTATATTTCAGATGGGGTATGACTTCAGAAAGGTCAAGGCTAGTATGTGAAATAGAAAACAGACTCAACTGCTCAACAAAATAATGGATTATCCATCACCCTTATGTCATACTGACATTAAGAGTCCAGCATTACATTCACCACATTACAATGATCCTTTCATTACACAGTGTATTAGGTATTATTTTCCAAGCAAGACTATTTCTTTTGTACTGAGGATGACCCAGGCCCCACTGACTTAGTAACACTATTCACACACCTGTAACTTGAATTCTGTAGAGCAGCATTTCAGCCACATCACTTTTATCCCAATGCCTTTTTTACCGAAGGAGGAAGAGCAGACAGGAAGGGGAAAAAGGGCTATTGACCAAAGCTAGACTATGTTTTACCATCTCCCACAAAATAAACTCTGGTGTGAAACACTTAGACAACATCGTTTCCTTCTAATACCTGCCTATATCATTAAGAAAATATCATCCTGTAAAAATAAGTGACATATATATTAGTCATTTGTCTAAAAATGTTTTTTGATGCTTCTTCAGAACTGCAGGTAGAAGCATTATGCTCTTTAGGCCAGGATTCTTTGATCTGCTTTTCTGCTAGTTTCTTGCTCATTGCTTGACACAGTATTTTTGCTCCAACAAAGCATAATGTGTAAGAAAATTAAAGTAAATTGTTCATTTCATTAGTACCCCTGAACAATTTTAGACATTATGCATTAGTATGAAGATGTTGTTAACTACTACAGCTGTAATAGTATTATAGGAAGAAAGAAAATGATTGTACAAATGACTTTAAAGCACAAAGAGTTTTTCAGATACAACAAAATATAGGTTCTCTCAGCACATCAATGAGATTTACAAATGACAGGCTTTTTTTTTCCAATAACTGGGTTAAAACTTACAGATAACATGGAACTTTCTACATAACAGAGTAAAAACAAAAAAATCCTGTAATTATTCTCTTAACAGCAATAAACATGCTGTCAGCAGCTGGTAACTGAAAGGTCAAATTTCTGCAAATTTCTGATATAAGCATCATCACAGCTGTGCTTACTGCCAGTTTTAATGGAGTCTTCTGGTAAGGCTAAGACAAATTGGTGGGGGTGGGAGACACAGGATAGAGCAAGCAAAACCCCTGTATATACAGTGTATCAGAAAGAACACTTCAGTGGAACAAAGTTTAAGTACAGTTTTAACAGTGCACTGAGTTCTCATCCTTAATTCTTAGGTTTAAAAAGAAAGAAAAGCCAAGCAAAAAGAAAAACCATTTTTACAGGTACCTTCTTCAATTCAGTAATGACCAGCCACAATGAGCGTGCTCAACTGTACCTGCCTAAAGCATTCTGTTTTATCTTTCTTTGAGCCAAAATGACATATTGCTTCAATCAAAGTCAAATTTTTTTCCCATAGGGATTCCCCCACTGTCTCAGTGTATCATAGTATATAGTATGTATATACTATAGTACATAGTATTATGGTATAGTACATACTACATATGATAGTTCATAGTATTTAAGCATTCATTTTTCCTCCACCTAAATTCTTGTTATTATGAAGCTTGCATTAATTTAATCCACTTTGAATCAGATTCAGAGAAATTTGTCCAAGCTTCAGAAGCTAATGGTGGTGGGTGGACAAGCAGAACATTTAAACTTAACACACAAAAGTTTGTTTACACAGAAGACCAGACTGGCAAAAGGGTCAACTCATATTCCTTACAACAGGAAAACTAATACCTACAAATCCCTTTCACTGATAAAACAGCAGAAGATTTTACTTTTATTATCTAAGCTCTCCTTTTATGATCAGGTGATCCATCTGGTGGATGAGAGGAAGGCTGTGGATGTGTCTATCTGGACTTCAGCAAAGCCTTTGACACCATCTCCCATAATATACTCCTGGAAAAACTGCAGCCCATGGCTTGGACAGGGGGACTCTGTGCTGGGTTAGGAACTGGCTGGAGGGTTGGGCCAAGAGGCTGGTGGTGGAAGGTGCTGCTTCAAGTTGGCTGCCGGTCACCAGTGGTGTCTCCCAGGGATCAGTGTTGGGCCCAGTCCTGTTTAACATCTTCATCGATGATTTAAATGAGGGGATTGAGTCCACCATTAGTAAATTTGCAGATGACACCAAGTTAGGAGGGAGTGTCGATCAGCTGGAAGGCAGGAGGGCTCTGCAGAGGGACCTGAATAGGCTGCTGGGTCCTGCACTTTGGCCACAACAACCCCTGCAGCGCTACAGGCTGGGCACAGAGTGGCTGGAGAGCAGCCAGGTGGAAAGGGACCTGGGGGTGCTGACTGACAGGAAGCTGAACATGAGCCAGCAGTGTGGCCAGGTGGCCAAGAAGGCCAATGGCATCCTGGCCTGGATCAGGAACAGTGTGGCCAGCAGGAGCAGGGAAGCGATGCTTTCCCTGTGCTCAGCGCTGGTGAGGCCACCCCTGGAGTGCTGTGTCCAGTTCTGGGCCCCTCAGTTCAGGAAAGACATTGAGGTGCTGGAGCAGATCCAGAGAAGAGCAACCAGGCTGGTGAAGGGACTTGAGCACAAGTCCTATGAGGAGAGGCTGAGGGAGCTGGGGTTGTTTAGCCTGGAGAAGAGGAGGCTGAGGGGAGACCTCATCACTCTCTACAACTCCCTGAAAGGAGGTTGTGGCCAAGTGGGAGTTGGTCTCTTCTCCCAGGCAATCAGCAGTAGGACAAGAAAGCATGGGCTTAAGCTCTGTCAGGAGAGATTTAGGTTGGATAATAGGAAGAAATTCTTTACAGAGAGAGTGATCAGGCATTGGAATGGCCTGCCCAGAGAGGTGGTGGATTCACCATCCCTGGAGGTTTTTAAGACAAGGTTGGATGTGGCACTGAGTGCCGTGATCTAGTAATCACAGTGGGGTTGGATCAAGGGTTGGACTTGATCTCGGAGGTCTCTTCCAACCCAGTTAATTCTTTGATTCTATGATTCTTTGAAAAGCTTGTTTGATAAAATGTCAAGTCATGGGACATTTCATCTCAAAGTTTGGATGTCTCAGGAAGTTTGACTGTATAAGAGGAAAAAAAAACCCACAACCTCTCAAAGCCTTCCAAAATTTCAAGTGGTCTCCACTGAAAAATAGCAACACAAAGGTAAGGGAAGCAAAAAAATTGAAAATATACAGATAAGCAGGAAGAAGAAGAAAGATGTGCTACATACACATCTTACAGAAAGGAGGTATGTAATGCATAAAGAGAAACAAGAATTAGATTTCATATAAACTATTCTCTTAGGCTCAAATGTATCAGAGGAATTCAGCAGTCCTCCTTATATAGCCCACAGTATCTTGTCATTGCTCTAAATACAGAGAGATTAAATACCCCTTTATGCATCATGGGATTTTGTTTGGATATGGGACTGGAAGACATGACACCTGCTGAAAAATATATTGCAAAGAGACTTTCTGTATTCTTGAAATATTTAAAACATGAGTTTTAAAACATTTAAGGTTTAAAAAAATTTTAAGCATTTTGAAACAAGTTTGGAACATTCCCAGGAGCACCAATAAAGCCATTAATCTTCAGCTCTCTGCAATTCTGAAAGCAATGTCAAGTGAGACAAGAATCCTACTGCTTAGATCATTCAGATTTGTAATCTTTAATTTAATTCATCAGTACTTATTAGGAAAACTTTTCCTGGAAAGGGGAAAAAATCTGTTATCACTTCCGCTATAAAAATAATCTGTAATATAATAGTAAGTGTTACATTTCCTAAGATAAAACAAATAAACCCTTTTAAAAAAGTGGTTTGGGAGTAAAATTAAATTTTCTAGCGGCAAACAGACCTTTTAGATACTAAAGTGTCTCTGCACCAAACATAAACCTACTTGAGGAGTGGAAAATCTCTGAAAATTTTAATAGAAGCAATAAACGGTCAATTCTGTTCTCTTACTAAATGATTACTTGACATTGCTTATGACAGAACCACTTGACTGAGAAGCAGCTTCATGGAACGGAAACCAGCTGTCTTCTGACAAACATGAAAGCATACATTTGCTGAGTAACACACCATGTTTCTCCTTTTTTTTCCTTTTTCCTTCCCTTTTTTAGATCAAGTTCTTTTTGTGCTGAAAAAAACTGCTGTTTTCCCTTCCTCACTACTCTTTCACTCATACTTTTACTATCTTCTTCTTCAAGCTGCTTGGATAGTGCCTCAAGTTTCCTCTAACTTTTCAAGGATTGAGGAATAATTTGGTGAAAAATAATCAGCTTGCAGCCTGAAAAAACACTGTATGTTTATGACTGCTGCTGTTTCTCTTTCTCACTGTAATCACAAGTCCCCAAATGCTGCTCAGCATTATCTACCAATTAGTTATGTTAGTTCTAATCTGTACCAAGACAGGTCTACAAAAACACTCTTCACAAGATACAGCCTCAGGAATCGGCCCTGGCTCAGTAAGTCACCTCTGACTGCTCAACCTCAATGGCGGCAGCAGTTCCTCCCTTTCTAGAATGAGAGCTGAGCACCCTCAAGGAGAGACGGTGCTGATCTCCTTTCTTATGTTAAGGGCCATTTCCCTCTCCTCAGGGAAGGATTACATTGATGGATGATAGAAATAGAGGATAATTCTGAAAAAAAAAAAAAATAAAATATGGTGTGTACTTAAGGTATCCAAAAGATTACTGCTCTCTTTTTAATAAGGCAAATTACAGCATCTGTTTTCTGACTGGTATGGGCACACACTGCTCATTAGCATTAACAGGAGTCAAGGAGCTGTACAAATATCATGTTATTACTATGAACACAGGATTATCTCCCCTTATTACCCTAAACCAAAAAACTTCTGACAAGTCACAGGCAAATTCGTGTACTCTCTACTTTGTACTAGGTCACTTTGAAGGATGAGGAAAAAGCCAGATGAAGATGCCAAACTGTAATTCTATTATATAATAAAGCAGAATGTCATAGTCAATTACATATTCAAATATTGAAAGCAGGCTCACATTTGTAAACAATTTTTTAATTAAGGCTTTGTTTCAAAGACTGCTTCAAGCTTTCTGTTTATCAGAAAAAAATGGCAAAAATGACTAGTCCTGCATCACACAATTTTCCAATGTTCAAAAGCAGAACTCCAGCAAGAAATACCTCATATATCTACAATTCAGTGCATCATTGCAGCATGGATTTTTTGGTGTTTTTGTTTCCCTGCTAGCTTTTCTCATGGGAGGACTGAAGTTCCTCCAGTGAATCATAAAAACATAACTAAAAAACTTCAAATGGATACATTATTTAGTGCCCAGAAGGAAGGACCTTCCTGCACTGACACAGGAAGAAGTGGTGGGTACAAAACTGCAAGTGCCCAGGCTCATCTTGTGGAAATCAGTTCAATATTGAGCATGCCTACTAGCTTTCTTAACTCCTAAAAGAAAGCCACTAGCTATGACAGGGAAGCTAATCCTCATGAATTGCAAACTGCTATTGTGACATGCACCACTACTTGATGAGGAGAAAGAACTGCCACCAAGCCCGAGCTGAAGAGAGCACACTTAGACCAGCAAAGCTGTTAGTCGGTAAATGCCCGTGGCAGATCTGCTGGCTATAGAGTACGATGTTTTGACAGAAGATATGGATAGAGCCACACATCTGTGAGTGGTGGTGTAAGGTCTGCTGTGTTAGAGAACACCTCCTCTTGTACTGGTGAATTAAAAGCATGCATACCTGGACTGCAGGCACTACAGTTACAATCTGACTTTGTAAGGTAAGGATGCATATCATAATCACATAGCTGGCAACGTGTACTACATTAGAGGCTCTTCCATTGATTGAATCACAACTGGAAAGTAAACAAGTCCAAACATACAATCAAAGTGTAGACCTGCTAAAAACTTTATTTATTTTAGAATTATTTTGAAATATCTTTACAGAAAATATCATGGACTTACTCGTAGCTTTTCTCTACAGTTAATTTATGGACAATATTTGAAATGTTTTATTTGCAGTAAATCTGAACTCTTTATTCAGAGAACTCTGCAGTTCTCTTTTCCTGACTGATGTTAATACAAACCAGCTCTGTAGTTTTATTTTATACTTAAAACAAATAAAATCCCCCAGTACTCTATAACTTTATTTCTATCAAAGAAAAAACTTGGTAAAAGATCATGGAATGCTGAAATCCTACAGCTAACTTTTGACAGAAGTTAAACTGAACAAGATCCATTTCTTCTAATGCTTATTCATTAGTAGTTTTATTTCCTAAAGCTTATGTACAGGCATTTTGGTTCTGTAATTAAAATTTCATCTTTGTTACACCCCTAAACAACACCTCATTTCAAATTTCATGGAAAATGCCCTATGGAAAATGCCACATCAGTGAGATTTATTTCAACTTAATGAAAGTGGAAGCTGTAATTATCACTTTAATCAAGTAATGGAGCAAGTCATTTTCCTTTTTATGAAAATGCAGTTGGTAAATATTTAATAGGAGGTAAAATCCTACTGCCTCAAGATTGCTTTTAATATCACTTTTGATCTTTTTGGATAAAATGCAGTTTAAAGTAAACAACTACATCTTGGCAAATGAGTAATTTTATCAAATTTATACACTGAGTAGTTCAGGATTCCAAATTGTTCAACACAAAATTCGAGATACTGGAGTTCACAGTGGCAACCCTTCTTGATAAAAACAGGCAAAGCAATGGCTGTTCTGCAGTACAACACACAGTAATGAGATCCACAAGCAGGCAAGATGACAAAACACAGCACACCTCAGGTGCACAAGGGAACATACAGGCACATGCAGAGACAATCTCCCAGCAGGACTTACTGGCTTAAGCATTGGTATTGGACAGTCATGGCGGAAGCAGATTCAAACACAACTCACATCACATTCAAGCTAGCTTACAAGCATCTGCACAACTTTTTTTGAGACTTTCCTGGTTTTACCCTTCCTGGATTAAAATCAGACAGGCTCTAATCACACCCATGGATAAAGTTTCATAGAAATTTAGTTCAGAAAATGGTTCTTCTGGAGGAATTTAAAGCAGACCATTCAGCACCATTCAGAAAGAACAACTTGAAAGAAATTCTCTTTAATCACATTTTTGGAAGCTGTTTTAGGCTACAGCCAAGTCACAAGAAGTACTTCCTACACTGACCTTAATGTAGTTTGGTTTATGGTTCAGATTAAGGCCTAAGCAAGTTTTTAATATCCTGTTTAGCTTTGGAACATGATATAAAATTCATATATCATTTTTTGCTGTGCTCATGTTTTCTATTTTGTTACCCTTCCAAATACAATACATATAATAACAAACAAATACATAATAAATCCTACAAGTTTGTGGCCCTCCTCGTTCACTGGATAGGTTCAAGACTGGCCTACAGAGATGCTTGTCTCCTCTGTTTCTTTTCTTTTGAAGGCCCCCCCCCTTCCACTGAACACATTGTCAGATATTTAACAGTGGGGTATTCTCTACCACATATAGAGCCTTTACCTGCTAGAATAGAGCGTAGGTCGCTCACGTTGATAGTGCTCATCTACATCCAAGGAAGAAGAAGAAACTGTGGTTGCCAAGGAAGCTGCTTCAAACAGAGATGGAGTGCTTGGCACTAGATCTGGATGGTGGTGTGAACCTAGTGCTGCTTACAAAGAAATAAAGAACAACATTAACAACTTTCATTTCAATTTGAATCCAAAAATCTTGATGCAAGCATATGGAATCCCATAGTGCTCTCGCCAGTTTCTTGAAGATTCTTGAATTGATGAGATAGTAATATTTATGTACCCACACCCACAATCTTTTGTGTTAAAGGGTGAATTTCAGCTGCTAACCAGTACATTCAGCAAAATCCAGAGCAACTCAAAGATCAAATATCAAACAGAGGTATAAGTATCTAATGAATTTTTCTAAGTTCTGGGACGGTTCCCATGCTACCAGGGCTCATTTATCAGATTGGTATCACATTGTTTACGCTGTTGATTTGAAAGACAGTACCTTCTTCATCAAGGCTAGCATAGCTTTGTCCTTCAGCAAGAATGCCACGCTTTTCATCCTTCCACTCCTGGCTAACTGCACACACTTCTTCTTGTGATGCTGCCTTTAGGGCTGTGATGGAATTGCACCGTTTCTTTGAAGGTGAAGACTTTAAGGCTGCATTACCAAATGAACAGAGGTATTGAGTTATGTCATCTTACATCCCTGCACATTTTTAACAGCATATAGAAAAGTAAGCCATCTATAAAAGCTAGTTTCTGAATATAGATGAGAACATGCCCAGATAAAAACCCACTTAGCAAACATTATATTAAAACCACAGCAAAAGGCATTGTTACTTCTCACTTTTGTATTTTTCTGGGATTTTTTACATCTCATTATAGGACAATAAAAGTCAAGTCACTGACATCACTAAGTTAAATAACTTCTATGAAGTATCAGCCCATGTAATCACAGGCAGAATGATACAGAAAAAAAGGAACACAGGAAAATTGAAAACACATTTAGAGTATTCTGAAAAGTTACATCATTTCCTTGAGCTGTGAACTACTGCTGTATAATGAAACTGTAGAATTTTCTCTTCAGACACTTGTCAAATAACTTCTTTGGGCTCAGTAAACATTTCCAAAACATGTACACTCAGGTATTACCATCTCCTTTAAGCCCTGTACTAGGGACTGCCTACTTAATGTTTTGAATTAAACTCCTGGAACAGACCACTTGTAGTTCTTCTCCAGAAGTATGCCAGCTTTTTTTTTTTTTAATGTTTTTCAGCTCTTGGCTGCTGACCTCCATGGGTTTGCTGCAAGGTTACTTCAGATGCACTGTAACACTTTATACTGTGCTTTACTAGAAGTTAAAATTAAAAGCACCAAGGCCTCTTGGCTAAAGACTGAAGAAAAAATCAGATGCATAGTTTCAGGACACTGTTAAAAAACAGCGTAGTAGATAGCTGCTGAGCTAGTCTGCCCAAGGCTGAATTGGCTTATTAAGTTTTTCTTGTTATTTAAGCAGGGTTGTTCTGTGCACTAGAGGAAAAAACACAGATTCAGAATAGGGTTTAAGTGTTTAAACTGAAATGTCAGACTCAAACTTTAGAAATAATGTTCCTGAAGGCAGGAACACTCCCAAATCTTTATTTTATAAAAGAATGATCATGCATTTGAACCATTAATATATACAAGGGTAGATTAATAGCCCTGTATGCAGAGCAGATCAATAAGAGTGGGATATTAAGACAGGTTAATAGCCTGAAAAATGAGACAGATAAATTAAGAGAGAAAATTAGGCATGATATCCTCTAATTGTACATTTAGCTTTCAAATACAGAACAGATTGTGTCTTGTGCTGAAAAAAATCTAGCAGTCAGAATTAGACAGAACTAGGAAAAAAAAAGACTCAAATGTTGAGGAAACATATACAGCATTTATTTTGTCAAACAGACAGAAGTACCAAGTAGTAAGGAGTAGATACTTCTTACTCTTTATCAATGCAGAGGAATTGCTTTGAGCATTGTCTCAGACAACACAGCTCCTACCAATTCTCTGGCAAAATTATTCTCTTATTTAAAGAGGACCGAGTCTCAGGAGGCTCTGTCCTCATTTCAGCTGAATTTTGTTCCATATTTTTTATATCACGTCAGATTCTTTTATTTTCATATTAATAAGTCTTTTCTGAAGGATTTAACATTTAAACCTTTAATCCTTAATTTATGATAGTCATTCTTGTAGTCATTCTTTTTCCCTTAAATCTCATTTAGTTCTAGCATTCATTTGTGTTTTGTTCTCCCTCTATCCACATAGACTTGTTTCTCATGCTAGATAACTAATGAAAAACTTAAGGGACCAGTATAATACTGGTCAAACTATTTGAAAAACACCTTCTATCAGTTTAATACAATATCATATGCTCAATATTCCTCTTGTAGTATTTAAGCCAAGTGTCCATTCCATATTTTGACATTCAATTCTAAAGAAAATACAGTTCCATGAGCAGGATTATGGATCTGCTTACCAGGATTCATTTTAAAATACAAGTTCCTCTATAAACTAGATAGTTCTAGCCCATCAGTTTATATTTATTTGTCAAGTACTCTGCTTCATAAAAAAACTTAAAAGGCTGAAAACACTCTTTGCTAGAGGGTAGGTAGGAACAGCCCTTATTAGAAAGAAAGACAAAAGAAGGTGTAATTTCAGCACCACTTCTACAGGTTTAAAAATAATCTGGTAGTTAAGCAGTAAGTTAGTATGTATGCACGGTATTTAAAACATATGATCTGTATGTCTTACTGTAAGGTAAACCTCAGTGCTCACATAATCAGAACAGCTTTTCCCCAAAGAACAGCCTGGATCACATCAAATCTCATTTTTGCCTTGCCAGTATATTTGTTACATCTTCTCTAAAGCCTTCCCTACTGAAAACATCCTGAGTTCATCTCCACAGTTGTCATAGAATGGCTTATGTTGGAAGGGATCTTAAAGATCATCTAGTTCCAACCCCATTGACACAGGCAGGGACACTTTCCATTAGACCACATTGCTCAGAGCCTCATCCAGCTTGACCATGAACAATTCCAGGGATAGACCATCTCCAGTTTCTTTGGGCAACCTATTCCAGTGCCTCACCACCCTCACTGTAAAGAACTTCTTCCAAATATCTAATCTAAATCTACCCTCCTTCAGCTTAATGCCATCCTCTCTTGCCCTGCCACTACATGGTCTCGTAAAAAGTCCCTCTTCAGGCTTCTTGTAAGTCTCCTTTAGGTACTGGAATGCTGCTACAAGGTCCCCCTGAGCTTTCTCTTCTCTGGACTGAACAATGCCTAGCTTGATTTTACAGGAGAAGTGCTCCACCCTTCTAATCATCTTGGTGGCCTCCTCTGGACTCACCCAAACAGGTCCATGTCCTTCCTGTTCTTGGGAACCCCAGAGCTGGATGCAGCACCCCAGGTGGGTCTCACCAGAGCAGAGCAGAGGGGCAGAAACACCTTCCTCAACCTGCCGGCCACACTGCTTTTGGTGCAGCCCAGCATACAAGTGGCTTTCTGGGTTGCAGGTGCACACTGCCAGGTCATGTCCAGCCTCTCATCCACCAGCACCTTCAAGTCCTTCTCAGCAGGGCTGCTCTCAATCTGTTCATCCCCCAGGCTGTATTGATAAAGAAGGTTGCCCTGATCCAGTGCAGCACCTTGCAGCTGGCTTTGCTGAACCTCATGAGGTTTCCATGGGTACACTTCTCAAGCTTTTCAGGGCCTCTTTCGTCCCTCATCACCATCCTTCTCTGCACTTGAAATGCTTCAGACTGAAATTCTTTTCAGTAGCACTATCAACTCACAGAGAAATTATCCATCAATTCATTAATATTTATAAGACTCCTCAAAAGACTTATTTTCCTAAAAAGCAGTTATAACATATCATGCATATAGGGAATCACTGTTTAGGGTTAATTCAGATTCTCTCTTTTTCTTCTAAAGATTCCTTCACTTTACTTAAAATATCTTAATTTTTTTTAGTACAGCTACTCTCAGCTCTCTTCTTTCATCTGTCTGTTCTTTTTCTTATTTAGTATTTCACAAAATATTTATCACATACACTTCTGCTTTCTTGCTGCACTATAGTTTTCTCTCTTCTTTCTTGTGCTTTTAGATAAAATCATGTATGCTATTGTATTCTGCCATGTCTCTAACATTGTTTTTCATAGACAGAGTGAGAGTTTCACAAATTCAACTGATCTTTAGAAAAATTTTATTATCTTTAGGCAACATGCAGAGCAACAAAGGCCAGTACAGCCTGAAAAATACTGACTTCCAGGGGTAAAAATTTAAGTGAAAAGAAAACCTGATCTGAACTTTTGATGGAAGAAGTCTGTATCAAGGTGAGTCTCTGAACTTTGATTTTTTAAATTTTTATTTTTGCAGTAAGAATACACTTATCACACCCAGAGGTACTACAATTCAAGATAGATATGAACATGTGATCTTATGTTCAAGATGTGTATTCTTGAATTTAGGTAATTTGAAAATAGGTAATTTTCCCCTGTTAATTATCAAAGTCAGGCTAAATGCAGCAAGTTCGAAAATAAATCTGTTCCTGAGTGCTTGAAAATTCTGTTGGTTTGCTTTGTAGTTGTACCTAGATTACGATAAAATATCCCTACTGCTCACTCCATGGGGATAAGACAACATTAATTTGTTTGTTTTAGTTTGGAATCAAGAAACAATATGTGATAGCTATTTCTCCAATATTTTTCCCAAACTCTAACTTCATATGCCTACATGGTAGGCAGTGTTTGGACTCTTAAAAAGTTGCAGTGCACTGGTTTTGGCTGGGACAGAGTTAATTTCCTTCACAGTGGCTCTGTGGTGCTGTGTCTTGGACCTGTGAAAAACCAGTATTAGTAGCACATGAAGGTTTTAATTATTGCTGAGCAGTGCTAGTACCTCACACTGCCTTGCCAGCGAAGAAATGGATGCGCACAAGAAGTTGCAAGGGGACACAGCCATGACAGCTGACCACAGGAATATCTCAGACCATATGGCATCAGGCTGAGCAATGTAAGATGGGATAAACAGGAGAAAGGGGTAAACATTTGTGATTAAGGCATTTGTCTTCCTAACTCACTGTTACATGTGATGAAGCCTGGCTTTCCCAGAGATGGCTGAACACCTGCCTGACCACGAGAGTGGATGAATTCCTGAATTTAATTTGTTTTCACATACAGCTTTTGTTTTCCCTATTATACTATCTTTATCTCAGTATTCTCACTTTTTAACATTCCAATTCTCTTTCCCTCCAGCTAGGATGAGTGATTGCCTATTTGGGGCTCAGCTGCCCATTGGGTTTAAAACACAACATACAAGAACTCACCTGCATAGGATTAGTTTTCCCTCCATTCCCAATGCCTAAAGAGGATCTATGGTTTCAGGGTCTACTTTAAGTTATAGAAATCAATTAATCTTGTTTGAGAGAAGTGACAATCAATAGTTAATTTACTGCTGCAAGACTTAGACTTAAGCTTTGGGACAACTCTTGGTAGAAATGTCCCTCGTAACAATGGTGGGTTTCTCTTTGCTTTTTTTTTCCTTCTCCCCTGTGTACTGGTTTTGAATGGCAAGGTTTTGTAGGTGAAGCAGGGGACTGGCTTCTGTGAGAAGCTACCAGAAGGTTTCCCCATATCTGATACAGCAAATGCCAGCTGGCTCCAAGAGGGACCTGCCAGTGGCCAAAGCTGAGCCCATCAGTGGGAGTAGTAGCATCTCTGGGATAGTGTATTTAAGGTGCAGGGGATGTATGTGTACAGCTGGAGGAGAGAAGTGAGAATACGTGAGAGCAACAACTCTGCAGACACCTAGGTCAGTGCAGAAAAAGGGGAAGGAAGTGTTTCAGGCACTGGAGCAGAGATTCCCCTGCAGCCCATGGTGCAGACCATGGTGAGTCAGCTGTCCCCCTGCAACCCATGGAGGTCCATTGTGGAGCAAAGATCCCCCTGCAGCCCATACTGGAGCAGGTGGATGCCTGAAGGATGCTATGACCCCATGGACAGAAGCCCATGCTGAAGCAGGCTCCCGGCAGGACCTGTGGTCCTGAGGAGAAAGGAGCCCATACTGGAGAAGGTTTGCTGGCAGGACTTGTGAACCCATGTGGGACCCACATTAGAGCAGTGGGTGAAGAACTTCAGTCATTGCAGGACTAACACTGACAAAGCTTGTGCCACTTAGGGGGGAGAGGAAGAGAATTCTGGAGTCAAATTCAACCTGGGAAGAAGTGAGGAAGGGGGAGTTGTTTTTAAGATTGGGGTTTTCTTCTTATTACTCTACTCAGAGTTGAGTAGTAATAAATTAATTTCCCTGAGTTGAGTTAGTTTTGCCTGTGACAGTAACTGGTAAGCGATTTCCCCCTGTCCCTATTTGGACCCACAAGCCTTTTGTTATATTTTTTCCCCCCTGCCCATTTGAGGAGGGGGAGTGGTAGAGTGGCTTGGTGGTCACCTGGCATCCAGCCTACACTACCCTGTAAGTAGGTAACAGTCATATGTATCTTATTCTTGGGAATCAATTAAAAGATGAAGGAAGGAGAAATGGAGGGGAAAACTAGAAATGGTTGATAGTGGTGAAGACAAGAGATTTTATTAATTTCAACTTTGGATAGTTCTTCCTTCATAAAACACAAAAAATGCACATAAAAGGGAAGAAAATTTAATTTTTCAAACATGCTGGCAGGGCATGTAAAAAATCTGTACTTCTGCAAGTTAAATAAATTAAAATCAATGTGGGTATTCCTACAAATACCAGATACAGGATTGGACATATCATTAGATCATAAAACTTATTTATCTTTATATCAGTGCTAATATATACAAACCTCTTATACCTTCAGATGCCCCAGATGTGACAAAAAATACATAACAAATGATCCTCTGTAATTTTACTATTAGAGTATAATCTAAATTGACAGAAATTTCGTTTCTTCACTGGAGCTACGAAAATGCTACATGATGTTGAAGAAAGGTTTGTTTCATTGCCAAGGCAGGAGTTTTATATAGTAATAATAATAAAAATATTTTAAGGAGTAAAAATATTTTAAAAAGTAAAAACTTTCTTACCTTGGACTTTCTTGAAAACTCTTGTGCTCATAAACTTTAAAAATCTGTCTGCATAAAAACCTGGTCGGTGAACTGAAACAGTGTCCTATGAGATTGAAAAAGGTCTCAGTCACATTTTCCATAAGTAAATCACAAGCAAAGTGTCAAGAAAGCTGGACATCTCAGGTGAACTGTATTATACACTTCAGGCATACTCAAAACTAGTGAATCATAACAGTTCTTCCCTTTTAAAGGCTGATTCTTCAAGGACTTTTTTTTAGGCATTTAATTTATGAAATCAGAAGTTATGAATTATACAGCTATGTCCTGCAAAATCTTCCAAGTATTTGAAATGTGTTTTTTCACACGATGTGTATTTTTCAGTTACAGATCCATCAATGTCCTGCTAAGTGGCTGGTCTTGTGTAAGTTATAATGACAAGCTAATCATATTAGTTGTTTTTTGAAAGCTCAACAAATAAAATCAGAACATGTATTGGAAAGATTTCAGCAACAGCCCAAACCACATGGGGATGTTAGAATACAAATGTACCAGAGCTAGCTTTTTCCTGGTTAATATAAGTCAAAGTTCCATTAGCTAAAATATTAGCAGTTTAAAAAAGCAATGAAATCTAGTTACCCCATCATAAACAAGAGCTTTCCAAGAATGTTCCAGCTTCTTCATTAACCTAAGCAAGTAAAAACAAAATCAGAACTGCTTTATAAAATTTTCACATCTATAAGTCATTTCAGAATAGCTTATTCAATGAAAACTTGAAATTCAACTTACCTATAAGACTGGAGGATATCAATAATACCCATAAATAGAAGCAGCTTTTCTCCTTTATGGTTTTTTGCAGGAATACCTCCCATTCTAAGAGAAATAGAAAAAAACTTTAGTTAGATTATATATTAATTATGTAAATTATGAATTAATTTGCTTTTCCAAAAGTTCTTTACAGACAGATCAGTGACAGAAAAAGCAACAGTATCAAGCTAAGTATCCTAACTACATGAGCCTCCTGTTAGTCCAGGGTATTTAGCCAGCCATGACAAGACGTTCATCCTAAGACTCTCTCTTCCTACTCCACTACCTAGAAAGAAGGTTCCATTGTTTTAGAACCAGAAATCCAATTTTCAGTTTGTCAGCTTCTGTTCACATTCATGACCCACTGCAAAACCAGAAGTAAAAGTGACTGAGGATGCAGCTCATGCAGTACCTCTGAATAATTTTGAACAGTTTGAGAAACAAAATCCTGAAGCAGCTATCAAAGACATAGTTGAGAGTATTTTCCCCATTCTGGCACTAAAGCAACAAGAGAGGCCTGGTTACCAACTACTCAACCTTCTCTTTTTTTTTGGAGTAGGGGGTTGTTGTTGGTGGGGAGTAGGGGAGAGGAAAACACATTTTTTATTATTCTAGGCATAAAGGAAACCTTGTAAAAACCAGTGAAGTTTAAATTACTGTAAAATCCCATTACCATGAACTCCAGCTCAATCAACTGATCAGACATTCAGAAGTGTTAAATGGTTAACTAAATGATATTCTGTCAGGTTTTCCTAAAAATTATGACTAGAAATTAAACACAGTGCTAGCAGGATTTATTGCTGCTGGGTATCCATTCTCATCCTCATTCTTATATAGCCTTACAACGAACCACAGTAGAAGACTGACCTAGGGGTCTTTTCTATAAGATCTAGGCTTAGTTTCGTTCACTTAAGTGAGGTTTGTCCCACTAGCAATTATGTCAATATGAGAGAGGAGATAGTACAAGGAGCCAAGGAAGGACTCTACTGCTGCACTAGGCTTTCACTGCACTTCTCAATATCTGGGTATATATTATATATGATCTATATTAGCTCAAGTGATGTGGAGCATGGGGTGGGTTTCCAGGTATGAACACTTTCTAGAATGACCTATATAATCAACTTTGCCAACATCCTTCAAAACTGCCAACGCAACACCTCTACCACCATACAATGTACCATAGCATTGACCATCTTCTGTGTGAACGTGAGTGAGCTGTAGAAACTGAATGAAATAAAGTGCTGTCTAATTTATATTCTAGAGCTCTGAACATCTGGAAACTCTCTATGAATGCTAAATGTCATAATTCTTCCATTTGTTTGCAGCGGGTTTAAGCACATGTTCCTATATCATTAGTTGTATTTACCTACACAAAAGAAAAGTAGATCCTTACTTCAAAATTAAATTCTCATTATGATGAAGGACTGATTATATACAATGCTGAATGGTGAAGATAATGCTCTCACTAGCACTTAATATATTATGAAGGAAATAGAATAACTATTGTCTATATAATCAAATTTCTATAGCAGTTTTTACTAGACAGAAAAAAAAGAGGAAAGCAGCAGTTCTTAACCTTGGGAGAGATCATATATGTCTGCACTTCACTGGCTGAAGATACCATTCTACGTATTAAGCCTACTACTTCAAGATGAAAATGACCACCGTAGGAATATCCATATTCAATGTGAACAAATAATTTTTGCTTATGTCTCACCACATTGCTTCCAATTAAAATTAGATTATAACAGGGACTCTTGTAATAGCTGTCTTATAACATCTCTTTTACAAAAGTATGCATTTGTGCATACATAAGTCACTCTGAACTAACCAAATTTGCTATCATGTATGTAGAGATGATCAATCTACTAATCAACATTTTAATTTCATGCTCTGTGGCAAATCTTGATGATGCAGCTTTTGGAAAACAAACAAAAAAACCAAAAAAAAAGCTCAGTCTTTCAATTTCTGAAATGCGGCGTACTCATGAATGTTTTGCCTGTTAATAGTTTTTACAGTAACCTTAAGAGAAAGTTATGGCACTTACGTGTTTGTTGTCTCTGTGGTGACAGAATCTCCCGACTTCCCAGGGCCCTGTATAGACTCCATAGCTGTGGAATAGAGAACTTTTTGCCCTCCGTGACGTTTTGTGTCTGCTGCACTTTGGGAACCCTCTCCCTCCTTTTCCTTCACGCCACTGTTCAGTATGTGGATTCCCAGTAGCAGACTGTAATCCATGATCTTAAAACTTTCTAGAACCTACCAAGAAAGAAGAAAAGGCTATACTGAAAAAACAGAAGAGTTACACAGCAGCATTTTGCAAACTTAAGCAAAATCATACCTTCAAGGCATAAGCTTCTCTTGTTAGGAAAATGTATGAAATTATAGTTAAACAAAAATCCTTTATTATCCCACACAAGTCATAGTGCTAGTTATCTATTTAGCTCAATGTTCTTGTTACAAGTGCAAAAGAAGGATGCCTAGCTGATATTATTTTGTAGGCAAGGAAAATAATTCAAGGCAGTTCCTTTTTGTTGATAGCAAATAATCATTTAATAGTTTCATCATATACTTATGAACTAAAGACTTTTTAAAGTCATCTCTAATGCATGTTCCAGACCTTACTGAGCATTTTGCCTATATTACTCTCTATCTCTTCTCCACCTCCTGTTTAAAACAGAGTATGTGTTCTTTGAAAACTTTCAAGTGTCAGAAAAGCATTTGGTACCATCTCTCATTAACAGCTGATGGGATATGAGTAAAAAATCATGCACCTCTCCATTAGGCTAAATATAGCCTATCTAAACTCAAAGACAAATTTTACTTCAGAAGTATGACTACCAGTCTTCTCTTCTAGCTCTACAAACCGTATTTCCTCTATCAGTAGGCAAGTCCCCTTTCTTCTCTCACAACCTGTACTGTCATGAGTTTCAAGTCAGATACACTATTATGAAGTCTGGGGTCCTGCCACTGAAAGGCAAAATACAGGTCAAGTCAATACCCAGACATGAGCTAAAACGAGCTGTGATCACATCTAGTAATATAACCAAACTGTTTGCAGACAGCAACTGTGTTAAACGCCTTACAAAACAGCAGTGCTAAGTGGAGGGAGAAAAACCAGTGAAAACTAGGAGGGATAATGCTGTGCCACTCACCTCTCTATGCAAAGCCAGACTACAGCACGTAGTCAGACTTGGAAAAACTACTGCCATTTTTATTTTAGAGTTATAAACTACTGCTGACATCTCTGTCTTCAACCTATTGCTTACTGCCTTTTGAATTAGACCACATTAGCAACATTATGATTTTACTCCAGTAATTAGATAACCTATGTCTAGGACTGGATGTAACTTCATTTAAGGCTGTGGTGTGATGTGCTGCTCCGTCTTTCACAGGGACCTCTTATGTGATAAAATTAATCTTTCTGACTTCATCAGTTCACCACTGCCACTTAAACCTATAATACTAGTACAATACAACGGACTATTCTTTGACAATTTATGAATTTGTCATAGGATTACTAAAAACCATCATAAAACCAAGTAGCTATTTTGTTACTCCAATTCATGATGAGATTGAAACATCTGCACATCCAATGGATTAACTGCAGTACAGATTCTTACAAATAGCATGTACCATATGAACTGTAGCCCTTGCCCCCTGTTCATGGCCGTATTCAGAGGCAGGACTGTCCTGTTCACAAAGTCTCCTTAGGATATTATAACATTATCTGGCCCTTTGTCTGCCTACAAGTTTGATGTTCAGTTCTGATTACTTCCCGTTAGAAATTTGATAACCAAACCAACCACTCCTTATGTAAATGCACCTTTTTGACCACATCAAAGCATGTTTCACTCCCCATTTGTTTCTGATGAAAATTCTGGAAGAAATAATGACCAGAATAACAAGGAAGAATCTGTAGTCAACAAAAAATTACTTTGCGTCAAAGCCTCAGCCTGTATTGAGATAGATATTTTCCTTAATCAGTGGGATTTCCAGCTGAATATATCCAAAGGGTTCTCACATATGTATCTTCATGAATATTTAAAATACCAAATTGTCAAATTTTTTAAATGTGTAAGTAATGTTTTGCACACACAGTTTTAAAAAACAATCTGGTTTGCCAAGGACAAGTTACAAAATGCAGCACATCAAGATATTTCTGGGCATGCAGCATTCCATGAGAATATAAAAAAAGCACAAGCCTTTTCCCATGCCGAGGTTTACTTGGAGATACCTTTGACAATTTTAGATAGAACTGCTTTTAAGATGCAGCAAGTTTTGCTACAAAGGCATCAAAATGATAACCTAATCTAATGAAAAAAACACTCAGATAAATCACAGTATTACACAGCAAAAGTGTTCATAGCAAAAGGAGAAAGATTTGTAAAACACCTGATGCCATCTGTGTGAAGTCACTAGAAACTGACATTAACTGCCAGAAATACACTACTTGTATAGTTAAAGTGAGAGAATTTGAATCTGTGCTCTAAAATGTACCTTGCTAGCAAAATGACACTGTGAGGTTTCAGCAACAGTCTTAATCATGCTGTGTACTAAAAAGAAAGTGTTGCATTTGATAATGACAAATAACCCTTCATTTCATTAACTTGACATTTAATTGGTCACCTTATTTGTATTTATATAGGTGTTATTTAACTAGCTACACAGATTCTGTCAACACAATGTTGTCACTTGGTCACCAAGTGCTGCTGGCAAGGCTGACTTCAGCTGCTCTGACAACTTCCAGATGGCAAGCGTCACTCACAGATTTAAGCCTTATGCACTATTTTGCTTTCATACTACACAAAAAACACAGTAAAACAGCATCACAAAGTATGCCATTTCAGAACATGAAAAAATAACTCCATGAATCAGATTTTCTTTTCTTAGAGCCAATCAGATGTTAAAGCACTTTGTGAATCATCTTAGACATGGTTACACTCCACTATCTCAGCCAGTGACTAACAGCAAAACAAGTATTTCTGCTATGAAATGTCGTTTTTATTTTACATGCAGCCACTCCAAGCCACACACTATGCAGAAATCTGCATTCATGTTGCTACCCATACAAAACAACATGCAAAAAAGTCAGCAGGACATTTTCATAAAAGGGTAAAGAAAAAAAAATTCTGGAAAAAGTACATAGGAATTAACATAACAGAAGGAAGACTGATTTTACAACAAATCAATAATTACTTTCAACATAAGGACCTATATAAAATCAACACAAAGTAAGAGATTGTTTCACAAAATAAGCATTTCTTGGAAACAAGTGCATAAATTCCAATGCTTAGCAATGGACCTGGTCTAGAAAAAATCTATTCCAAGAAAATTAATTGCCACCTCCCTACCAAAGCATAGGTCTAATCACTTCCCATTTCAACAGAATTACAGCATCACAGAATTTGTCGAGTTGGAAGAGACGTACAAGGATCATCAAGTACAACTCCTGGCCCTGCACAGCATCATCCCCCATGTGCCTGAGAATATCATCCAAATGCCTCTTGAACTCTTTCAGGCTTGGTGCTGTGACCTCTTCCATGGGGAGCCTTTCCAGTGTCCAACCAGCCTCTCACTGAGGAGCCTTCTTCCAGTATCCAACCTAAACCTCCCCTGACACAGCTTCAGGCCATTCCCTTGGGTCCTGTCACTGGTAACCACACAGAAGTAGGCTGTAGACCACAGTGAGGTTTCCCCTCAGTCTCCTCTTCTCCAAGCTGAACACACCAAGTGCCCTCAGCCACTCCTCATACAGCTTCCCCTCAAGGCCCTTCACCATCTTCATTGCCCTCCTTTGGACACTCTCTAACAGCTTATATTGTGGTGCCCAAAAATGCACGCAGTGTTCAAGGTGACGCTACAGAGCAGAGCAGAGCAGGATAATCCCCTCATAGGGGGATTAGTACTAGTGCCTACTCATAGGTCATTAGTATTTCGGCTGATAGCTCAAAAAATACTCTTCCTATCGATACAAAAATCTAACTAACTACCGCAAAACAAAATTCCCCAGTTTTACAGTGAGTTTTCTTGTCTGTTTGTGTAAAACATTACCTAACATAGTTTTAAATGTGACAGGTGTCCCAGGATCCCTAAGGTCACCAAGTTAACTAAGAACCAGCTTTGAGTTTACGGGACAGCTATTAAATATGCTTCATTAAGAAAACAAGTTTTTCTTAAGTAAGAAATGAAAATCACTAGTGTTCTTATATACTCTGGTGCATTTTCTCCCCATGTTTTTAAATAAGTGGGGAATAAATCTTAACTTCAGTTTTTAGAATATGATAGCTTTGCCATTTTGCTGGGGAGTTTTATTCCACATTTCAGGATAAATAAATATATTCTGCTTAAATTGCATAATTTATTTTCTTCAAAGATATTTGTACACCCAAAAAAGTGTTGTGAAGAGGAGAGAGAAGTACTAGGGACTGACAAAGAGAGGTTATCTGAGTGCATAATACAGGTAAACATCTTACAAAGCAGACATTAACAGCAAAGAGTGAAGGAAGACAAGGCTTTAGAAGAGTTAATCGAAAACACTTTTACTGTAAGAACCCCTTATCTCCCCCCCCCGTTTCTGTATTGCTCTAAGGAGATTTTGTTCTGTACAAATTCTGTAGACCTAACCCACAGATACATTGCACAAAGAGCCCAGAGGTAATAAATCATAGCCAAATAGGCTAAGGTAGACATTTGAATAGGTGAAATAGGCCTGAAGCCAAGGTTTTCTTCAAGCCTGGACGATCAGAACATAGAACAATGGAAAGAACAGAAGGTGACCAAGGTCACCTGAGGAAGAAGAGTAGATTTGAGACCCTAAGATGAAGAAAAGACCAGATGTACCACCGTAATATTCCTCAGAATAGAGACCACGCCTCAAACTCCGCCCAGACTCCACCCACTCTGAATATTATAATAACATGAATATGTATGTAATTATGTTGTAATCGCAGTTAGAAACTGTATAAATTGCTTGTTTTTACTGAACCACTTCAGAGCTTTTGTCCAGCCTGAGCTGGAAGCTACCCTGACGTCGCAAACAAATACCTTGCTGTTTATGGGCATAAAGTTCTGCCTTTAAGCAGTTTTCTTTTTGGGCATCAAGAGCATGAGGAAGAATACTTGGAATCACTTTTTTCCATCTGCCCAGTTAATAGAGATGACTGCATTTACATGCCCCCGTGCTTATAGCCCTTTTCAATTATTTTTTTCTCTTACATTCAGCAACAGATGGAATGGGAAAAACAGAATGAGGGTAG